TGCTGACTGCTCTCAGAACTGAATCAGTCTATGCTCTTTTAATACCGTATAAATGCTGTGAAAATTCCAGTGAGTATGAGAAACAACGCCCGACTTCATGCGTTGTACATGTCCTACAACATTCAAGTGAATTCATTAATAGAGACGATGCCCTGCTAATCTGACGGTGCAATCCTAGAAATTTTAGTTTCTTAAATACAGAATGCCCCAAAAAGGTGTATACACAAATTCAACGCGAGAAATAATCATTTCAGTAAACTAAATCATTACAAACGTCAGCATTGGCACTTAATGAACTAGTGAATCTACGTAGACGTTCAAAATGACCACTGTTATTTGCTGATCAACTGACTGACAAGAGGCCACCACAAAATTGCTGCTGTGTGCTTCGATTTGGGTGATTCTATATGTAATTTCCCTTTGTACCTACATAATGGTATTGGCCAACTGTAGGCTATTACAGACAATTTCAGTGACACGGTTAATAACAATGGATAATTACAAACATCGGAAACAGACTTATGTTAAAAGACAGCAATATTCAAATCTTACACAGATTTACGTTACATTTATTTGCTTTATGCAGTTATAATTTAATCTGTCAAATATTCTTACGAATGTGAGATCTACTATAGAAGCCTGAATAAACTTGTAAGTTAGTACGTGGACTTGAAGGACAAATAAAATGTGTAACTTCGTCTTTGGGGATAAGTCGCATCGAATTTTTGAAAGTATTACACATTTCGACAAGCAATGTAGTTGCCATCTTCAGGGTGGATATGTAATGATTGATTGGGCCTTTTTGGAAGCCTTGTATAAGACCGGATTAGCTATCATACGGTCTCGCACTGTTTTTAGTTACAATTCACTCAACAAATTTTATTGACAAAATTGCATTTTTTAGAAGTTATGCGTGACTAGGCTACGAAGACCTTTTTTTTCCTCCACAAAGTAAAAAAACCGGCTCTGGGAACCACACAATCTCTTAACCAAAGGGTACCGGCTTCTTTCCCTGGGGTAATCCAGTCGGGTCGTAAAGATAACCGCTTACCTCGTTCTATTGCTGAGGTTAAAAACGTGTGGGGCTATTTCTCCACTCCGTACACGCCTTACCGTGTGGCTCATAATTAGGTACCAGGTAGAACTTAATTAAAGTACCAGGCACATCTCTACTTCTGTCATCGCAAACAAAAAATGTGAACATAATCAAATGAACAGGAAGTCGAAAGACGTTGCATCTAAAGTCATATTGCTAGTAACAAGTTTCACACTGACGCAAAATTTATCAGCGTACAGGCACGTGCGCACATACACACAAACACATGAGTCCAAGTGCACAGATGTATGTTATTTGATTCATATTTGTAAATCTCATCTGCATTTCGTCGAAGGACAATTCCGATTTCCTGATGACACTTTTCGTTATTTACATCAGCCAATCCAGGCGAAGTGTAGTATGACACCTCACAATAGGCATCTACCACTTCCTCCATGGTATGATCACGTCATAAACGCATCATCGTAATTAAACTGCTATGAGTTCCACAGCGGACCATTGAAAAACAAAAGTTCACATTCGATGTTGGTCTACAATTCAGGTAGCCAGCAGGCGTGTAATGTCTTACCTGGGATAAAAAATTATGTCTGTTGTGGCCCTTCAGGCATGTTTCACTTGTGTTAAGTCCTGTCGCTGTTCCGTATGTGATGCATGCATGCGTAAGGTGCGAGGAATAAGAAAATTTCTGTCATTGCGTAACGCACATGTATTTATGAATGAGTCAAGACTCGATTGTGAATGCTCAATAAGTGCTGCTAGCATCCGCTGTTGATCACCAGACTTCCTACTTCTAACCTTCTATACGACGCTGCTAGCAGTCTGCCTCAACTCCAGTGCTAGACATTTATCGTAATGAAATACTCGGTAATCGATATCAGACCACATTCATCGCCCTGATGACGAAGGCAGTATGACCTCTGAAACTTTGGTAAACATCGACCAGACTACAGAGCGCAAAACCCAGAAGACAGAAATCTTCATACCAGACCAGTCATTATTCATAAACACTTTGTCATACGAACCAAGGTTGATAAACGCAACGTTAATATTGCTAAAAATATTAAATAAATAAAGGAAACGAGATTTTGCGAAAAGGTCTTTAGTGATTGTGCGTATTAATATAATATAAGGAAAATATAGGTATCTCTAATATTAATTTTTATTAAATGCCTTTGATTCTAAACCAAATGTTTTGGCGCTACCAACTGTAAAAAATGACCAACTCAAGCGTATGTACGTATGCATGCCTGTATATCGAATTCTGAAGTATTTTTGTGATGGTGGGGGTTAGTAGCTGTTTCTCACGACATAACGTAAGCGAAAAACACGTAATGGACCTGTCCATGCCTGTCTGCCTGTCGCGTTTCTCTAGGAACTATGCAACCAGCACTATAAAGGATTATTGTTGTAACACATTGTTGGGAGTGTTGAGCATTGTTTTTACAACAGTGTGAAACTAAGAAATGGTTGTTATACATTCTCGCAACAATGGAAACCAAGGTCATTGTGGAGGTACGTTGTTACGACAGCAGAAACTGGAGTGATTGTTCATGAAAAGAAACGACCTTGGATCACGCAATTATGATCTTTTACGCCATTGTTTTCTTTCTTGTTACTTTTCAGTAACAGTGATCAAGACCACATTTCCTTTGGGCCATGTTTATTAGCCAAGTAACCAGTTGACTTCACCGTCTCCCCAAGAACACTTTTGGAACTTCAGTGTACTCCAGAGTGTATACCTTTCTAATCTTGTATATGCTATTTGTAGGTTATGAATTGTTTGTGTCGTTTTTCGTACTACTGGTTTCAGGAAGATGGCGGGGGTGTATTCTAGTAAATTATGAACTGATACTTTTATGATATTAAATTTAAATCTGGAAAATCACTGAAGTAATTGCAAGAACTTGATTCTGAGATTCAGTAAATAAAATAATTTACTTTAAGGAAAATATGTTTTTAAAAAAACTGAAGAGTACAGTGTTATTTCAGTAAATATTTCTTGATTGCTTTTCTAAATATACAGAGCTCTGAGGCCGTTAACGTCTTCTCAGACTGGAGTGCGCAACTGCTGGGCGTGAGCCACAATATACGCTACTAAACTGGTTAAATTGTGTACAATTTATGTACATAATAAAACAGTAACACAAATAGGCTGTAGCAAGAAAACGTGCCGTATTTTATCCGTGAATGAAGACACGGCTTGTGGACCTTATTATCCCACTCTTGATATCTACCAATGAACACGGTCTATATCTGGACAAAGAATTTTATTAAAAGAACCTGACAAAGCCAGATTTCTTTTAAAATGTTTGTTGTCTCTTAACTAAGTTATAAACAATAATTTATGTCCAGTGATGCTAAATCAGCCAAAATTCTCTTTGTGATAATTTTGGTTCTCACGGCGGCTTGTATGAAGAATATTGTCTTCTGGAATGTTGCGCTGTGATGCCTGGTAGAAGTTCATTGACTTTAAACGTGCTTGTTGCATTACCCTGATGATGGTGGCAGCAAGCAAGTACGAAACGTCCGTAAACGACTAGCAGATAACACAGAACACCACCTCAAGCTCATTATATAAAATCCTGCGTCCTTATGTTATTTCTGTCTTGTCAGATCATATATTATGTTAAAAACAAAAAATTTTAACAACAAATTTCGAGAAAAACGGTATGTAGGAAGACCAAAAATAAAATGGTTTGAACAGTTTTTGTGACATCGGAATAGACTTAATGGGCATACACGTTGTAAGAAAGAAGAATAAGAATATATATTTCTGTATGGATTGTTGCGTTCGGCCCAATAAATATTACCCACTGCTCGGTTAGCCTTGTACTTGTAAACATTTTAAACTTAGGAATGTAGAAAATCTTCTGACAGCCTTTACATCCGTAAGAGACGTAAATATTAACAAGTAGGCTGAATCAATATCGCAATTGTTATGAAGGTACATGAACATCTATCACATTGACGACAGATTTAAATTATGATATGAAGTAATTTTGAATACTTTTGTCTGCAGATATTCTTCTTTTGTTGACTTTAAAATAATTCCAGAATTCCGTTTTCCGTAGGTCTATGCACAATCCATTTCCCTGCTGTAACTTAAAATTGTGGAAAATCGTGTCGGCGGTGGGGAAACTGGAATTTTACACAGGGATAATGCCAAATGTTCAAGAATTATGAATTTAAACACATCTGATGTTAACGTCAATCATAACATGTTCTGTGCAGAAAGTGGAAACGCCCTCAAAAAGAAAAATATTATTAAGTCCATGAGAACTGCAATGTATAAGACAGGACGTCGCTTTGTTTCCTTTGTGCATAGGCAAACCACAAACTCATGGCTATGTACTGAGTTAAACTTTGTAGAGTAAGGGATTCTTCTGATGAGAGCGTGACCGTAAAATTTATAGGGGGAAAGCAGTTCGGTAACAATACACTTGTTTTCACGGTTGTTGTTCATCAGGTACTAAAAGTCCTCGATTCAGAACCCGATAGTACCACAGAAGCTCCATTTTTTTTCAACCTGTAGCCAACAGCTACAGCTTGTATTTTCTTCCTGTTTTTCCTTTGATATAAAAAAGTTAATTATGACATAAGAAGACAGTTTAAACATGGGGACTCCTGTAATAGCGTGGATGAAATGGTAGCCTAGATCCTTCCTCTCTGATCCAGTAGATCTTGTTTGTGTGTTGGAATTTTAGTCGGCTGTGTGTGTTGTGTGTTGAATTGCTTTGGTGTTTCTCTTTCTTTCTCTTCTTCTACTTCTCCTTCTTCATCTTCCACTTCTCTGTCTCTGTCTTGCGGTGGACCTGCCCTTGCACTCATGAGTCGAATACATTAGGACGGGTCCCTGAGAGTAAGTGAGATGGATGAAGAGAGAAAGAAGGCATTTAGATAGGTTGGGATGGCAGGCAGGCCCAGTTGGGTTGTCGAGGGGAAGAGGGGTCAGGAATTACTAGCCCCGATCCCGAGTAAGAGCTAGTTTTCAAGTTTAGTTGAGTTGTAAAGCCGGGCTGTCAACCGGGCGAGCAGCGCTAGCTGGTACGAGTACGTGAAGCTCTGGAAACAACTGACAATCGGTCTGTCGACCATTATTGTTAGTACTCATTTGTTTTAAGTTTGTGTTGTGTTTTAGAGCACACGAGTATGTGATTCAACGCGAATTTGACAGAAAACCGTCGATAATAATACACCAAAGAAGGAAATAGTATTTGGAGAAGAATTTTAAGCCTTGTAGTTGTGTGTGGTGATTATTGGTTCACTGACTCTTCTGTTTTGTGTGGGAGTGGGCTTTCAAGATCATGGTAACGTCACCCATCAATGATATCTTCATATCCAGGAGTAACCCACCTTGAACGAAAAGGGATAGTTGCAGAGCTTGTCGTTCTTTTCCATAACTAGTGGGTCGAGACACGTGTTTCCAATTGAATAATGAAGACATTACGATGAAACTCTTTACCTCACGTAGCTACAGACTTGAAATTCGGTTGAAACTTAAGAGACAACTTCTTGTGATTGTGGTTTTGTTTTTGTGTTTGCCAGTGGATTCTTTTTATTTACAAATAAAAGAAATGGAAGCAATTTCCATGTCGACTTTATTTTGTTTTAAAAAAACACTAACCAAAAGATCAACCGCTGCTTCAAGAACTTTCCAGTCTATCCAGTAAAACCGAACTTAAATGCATTGTTTACTGTATTCATGTGCAAAAGTTTAGGAAAGAATTATAAAACACCTGTCGTTCTCCGTCATAAACAAACTTATTTATAAATGTAACATAGACATGGTGCAGCGTTGTTGGGATGTTTAACCCAGTGACAGTCTTGTTAGTACATGAATCTGGACGTAGTGAGGGAACAATTTTTAATTTGAATGATAATGCCCGAAAAAGAGGCATTCCATCATGTTCATTCTTCGGCTTCCGCAGGCTTACCACTCCAGTTCCCGTCAGCCTTTGCGGCTTTCCATGCGCCCCTGCCGGTGGATCAACGCACTCATGAGGGACGCTACATCTGGGACCCTGCGTCGGGGCGCGTCGTTCACCCCGGTACCCCGACAGGTGCCTTCCATCACCCTGCAGCTCATGGGTGAGTACATTGACGACATCCTACCCAAAGAATCATACCGGTGTCGATCCGGTATTATAACACCCTAAAATCCTGCACAGAAAAGGAATGTTGAATGTTTACGGAAAAGGTGAATGTATATTTTTAGCTACAGAGTTTACCAGTTACATGTAGGCCTAACTCTAAGACCATCTTAGTAACACAGAAAGTTGGGACTGTAATGTCAAATTTGAGTCATAAAATTAAAGTGTGAAAACATGTTATTTTTAAGGTCTTCTGTAGTTTTAATGGTAGCAGGACTTGCAAATCACGATTTGTATTTTTTATGTATAGTTTATTTAACGACGCTTTTTCAGTAGCTCAGACTATACAGCGTCGACTCGATTTCTAGTTGAAGTAATTTATGCATAATTCAACATTTTTAGGGTCTGGTAGCGATGATCAAAATATATTTATAATGCAGAAGCAATGATGTTTAATGAATGCCGAAGATTTCTTCTACATGTGGGAACTTTTTATCAAACGACGTTTGTCTACATTAACATAATTTCGAGATTACATAAATTACCGTAAATAATGTAAACAAGAAATATTGCGACATATAACTGACTTCTCGGTTGTAGTGCCCTAGAGGTTTACCAACATTTCACAGGTCCCTGTTGCCTCCATCTTCAGATCTTTCATCGCCCCGATGATGGAGGCAGCAAACACCTCTGAAATGGCGGTAAACTTCTACGAGACTACACGGCACAGCAACTCAGAACACAGCCATCTTTGTACTCCGCGCTATTAGAAACTGATATCATAACTATAATATTCTACAGATGCCGAAATATGATTGGCTATAAGCATTAATCATAACGACTTGTGTTAAACAGTCAAACTAAGCCGTTTTGCAATGTATTAGCTGGTACAGTTACTGTTTACACAGCTGATAACAGAGGGAAAATTGCATTCCTTGCCTATGTAATTTTCGTGGCCTTCTCCATTCCATCGACATGTGCCCAAACAAACAGTAATGCAACATTGCCAACTATTACGCAGAAATATATGCATTTTGTATATCTGGGATACTAGTCACACAGCATAAAAAGAATTGTGCATGAATTGCACCTGCTCTTGTGCGTCAGACGTGGCTAAAACTGGAACAAAATAGAGCAAGGTAAATTAAACAAAGTGGTATTAAATGAAACAGGGGGAGGTGAAACCGTAATTGGGACAGAATATTATTCTTTGACAAACATGCGAAAAATTCACTGGCACGAGGGTAAAGATGAAAAAGTACAAAAATTAAATTATTTTATATTAGACCCGCGATTTTGCGAAATTTTCGCCATAGTCAGAAGTTGGTGCGTAAATTGTGTAATCATATTTATGTACTATTTCTTTTTTGGCAAGTTAATGAACATTATTTGTGAGAACGTTCCGAATTTTTTTTTTCGTTTCCTGAACTTGTAGGACTTACTTACCCTTTACCCCGGCACTGGCGAATTTTTAAAAATGTTATTTCTAAATCGTTTTGGTGGCTAAATTCTCTCTCGTCCATAATTGGCCACATGAAGGAGTATCACATTACGTGACCAAAGTAATAAATTTTCGTTTTAGTAACTCTGACCTACAAATAAAGAAAAATACTTTTTATGGTTCAGAATTCTGAGACAAATGTTTTGTGCGTGTAAGATTATTATACTTTATATGTAAATCGAAAATAAGTTTTTCTGGTAGCATTGCGAGTGTATCTAGTGGACAAAAAATTAATATGCCCCCCTCCAAACAAAAACTTAGATCTTTTTTTTCTTTTCCTCTGCCGCGATTTTATTGAATCAAAGTCTTGTTTATGGCAGGTGTACCAGGACAAATTTATCTAAAAAAATTGTACTGGCTTCATGAAGATGCCTGACTCTAGGGAAGGGCCTAAAAATTGATTAAAATTACCTGTGGCTTTCAAATGGATATACTAACTTAATACTTATAATTATAACTTAAATGTTATAAGTTATTGTATTTTACTTAATTTCTCTCAGAAGTGTACAATTCTGGCACAGGGAATCAATAAGAGCAATAATTGTATTAGTGAGGCTGTTTCCACTGCCACTATTAATGTCCAAGCATCGTACTTTCTGAAGAGCAAAATATTTTCAAAATATTACTAGGAATGTGCGTTTGACTATGATAAGTTCTTGTACGATGCAGTTAACTTTAGGTCTATCTGACGCGTTAAGAATTTTGCCTGACTTCTGAAATAATAGTCTGATTTTTCCGGGGTTTACTCACTAAAAGGAACCAATTTCTTTATTTACAATTTTTACGATGCGCCGTTGTGTAATTGTGAGTATCGATAACCTTATGCCTGATTTCCGAAATAGAAAAAAATCCCTTGTCTAAGAGGAATTGCGTTTGTAATTCTCAATTTTTCTATAATGAACCAAGTGTTTTGGTTACCGTAATATCCAATTTCGAGAATGTATGAATTGGTAATTGTTAATGTTTTTAAACACATTTTCTACGATTCTAAGGGCACTGGTGTCCTATAGAAAATAAATGTCTTAGAGCATTCCGTGCTGCTTTAATTTATGGTTTCTCAGTTCTTAAGTCCTTCCAGTTCGTCTTATTTTCACATTTCTTTCGAAGCAGCACGAACTTTGCAGTCGCCACAGCACCATTACAATTTCAACAAAGTAATCAAGACGAAGATGGCTGTCTTCTGGGTTGTAGCGTTGTGTAATCTGGTAAAAGTTCACCAACGTTTTACATGTCCTGGCTGCATCCATGATCATCTCCCTCATGATGGAGACAGCAAGGACCTCTGAAACATTGGTACACTTCTACCAGATTACACGGCTCTACAACCAAGAAGACAACCTTCTTCGTACTCACCGCCGTCAGAACCTCAACATCCACTTAATCAAGGACAACGTATCGTGTTGTATAAGATGCTTCAAGAAGTTTTGATTTTAATTCTTACAATTTTTACTCGGACCAAACACTGTCACAGATTGCTGTCTGAATGACCCTGGTATAAGCATAAAGTACACATAAATGTTGTATCGACTTAACTGAGTGAAACTCCGCACAGAGATTACACGCGCCTCTCTCTTACACAATGCAGACAATTCCCCACTGTTGTATAAAGTTAATAAACATTTCAAGCAGAGGCAGTAACCATTAAATTAAACAGCACACGATCCATGCCATTTCATTGTCTCTACGACGTCGGTAAGTCGCGGAAGGCGTTGTAATGGGCAGTTCGGCAGTTATAGACTCACTTCATCTGCAAACACTGGACGTGAAGGTTTTTGTAGATGGAAAAGCTTGGACTTGTATGGAACAATTGTCGGATCCAATTAATGTTCAGCCTTCTAGTTGCTATGAGTGACATATCGATCAGAAATACAAAACTAGAAATACCACGTACACACATAGACCTCTAATTAAAGCAAAAGAATATAAATTATATATAGGATAAGTCGATAAGTAAGTAGTCGCTATTGGTTTAAAAACGATCGAACTTTATGTACCACTGTTACACAGGCAATTACTGATGGCTTAACGGCGTATCAGAAAGCTGAAATTATTTAGTTTTTCATTGAAATATATCACCAGTTGTGGTCTACAGCTCATTTTGATGTGTTATTAAACATAAGAAGTCGCGTGTTTGCTGAGTATTATTAGAATTAGGAGGGATTTCTCTTTTAATTGATGTTTTTACTTCGAACATTTCCTACAGGACAAATTTCTCAAATGTACAGTGTGCATACTTGCGAAACTGTGAGTTAGATTCAATACGTAAAAGATTATTTAGATCTTTATTCCCAGTGGTAACTACATGTGGCAACTGTTCTACCAATCAGTAATTCTGCATTTTTCTTACAGTTTAGGTCCCTGTTTGTAGGTTTCGAATGGTTCTCAATGTGAACAGCCATTATATCCTTAAAGAGCATTAAACCAACTGAGCTTTGTGATGGCGATGTGTTGGGTTTTCTTTGAGGTGCGGGCTTCGGTTAGTGTTTAAATATTATTTACTTGAGTTTCGGTTTCAAGGGGTTAGTTAATTTAGATTTTCAGACTGTTGCCTAGTACATATTAATTAAAATGCAATTAAAGCATCTGAGAAGAAGATGACTGTCTTCTGGGTTTTAGCCCCATGTAATCTGGTACAGTTTACGAACGTTTCGAAGGACTTGCTGCCTCCATCGTCAAATTTAAAATCTTATTGAATATCGCAGAAGGATGTCATGTTCTGCTTCAGAAGATTCCATATTTGTCGTTCCACTTCGCTATGAACCTAAGTGGATATATTATGTTTTTGAATTTAAATGACTTCTCTTAATGGGTATGAATTTTATGCTATAAATATTTCGTTCAATTTAAGACGTTCTTTAACTCGCACTTTGCTGCTGATGTAAATGCACATAAATTAAGCTACACTAAGCTTGTTGCAGTCTCACATCAGCCAGATGTAACATGTATGTACTGCCTGAAGCTTGGAAACAACACACCGAAGGAAAATTTACGTGAGCTCGAACCCTCGAATGGATTTTAGGCAACCACCATAAAACACTTGTCTGATGTTTTTATTGCTTTCCAAGGTTTCACCCATCCTTCGAGACTGTTTTGCTTTCCACTCTACATAGAGAGGTAAGGTTAATTTACAATAGCATTCAACTGAAAACTCACAATATAAAATGGTCCTTACTACAATAATAAAAAGATAAATATGACTGACGTCCTGTTGATGGAGGCAGTTGGCGCATCTAAAACGTCAGTAATCTTCTATCAGATTACACGGCGTATCACCCCAGAAGTCGTTTTTGTACACACCGTCTTGAGAATCTGAAATCTCACCCAAGAAAGTTATATACACATTCATACATATGTAAAATGTATGTGACCCCATGACTTAAATATGCAGCTAAAATGAATCACAGATTATGAAGTGGCAGACATGTCTACATAGCCTATGAATTTGAGGCCTGCAGTGGACACACCATAATAGATACTCCACATGAAGACGACTCTGT